GTGTAGAGTGTAAAGTGCGAAGTGTAGAGCATGGAGTGCCAGAGTGTGGAAGGTGGTGCGTGGCACGTGGCGCGTGGAGTGTGTCGAGTGCCGAGCGTGCAGCGTAGAGTTTGCAGTGCAGGGCGTGGAGTTTATGGAGTGTGAAATTGAGGGGTTTAGAATATTGAGCGTGAAGTCGGAAGTTGTAGCGTGTGAATTGTGAAGTGTGTAGAGTGGTGCGAAGTCTATAGGGTCTGGGGTGTGACGTGTGGAGTTTGAAGCGTAGAGTGTGGATTGTAGGGTGCGCAGTGAAAATGTCATGAGTAGACTGGGAAGTGTGATTTGTAAAGTGTTGGAGTGTATAGAGTATAGGATGTAGAGTATGGAGTGTGAAGTGTCGAGGGTGCAGTGTGGAGTGCAGGGAATGCATAAGAGTGCACAGAGCAGGACGGGTGCGAAGAGCGCGAAGGGAGCATAAAGTCAGTGGAGTGGTGCGTGGGAGTAGTCTTCATGGAGAGAGCAAGCAGGGGGCAGTGTGAAGAGCGTGTAGCGTGGATGGGAGAAGGTAGAATGATGTAGAATGTAGAGTGTGAGTGTAGCATGTGGAGCTGGAGTGTACATAGGGTTTAGGGTGTAGGATGTAGGCTGAAAAATTCTGCTGCGTGGGGTGTAGAGTGCGCAGCTTGAAGTGGTGGAGGGTGATGCGCAGAGTGTAGAGTCTCTAGGCTGTGGTGTGTAGAGTTTGCAGTGGCTAGGGCGCGGAAGCGTGTAGAGTCTAGAATGTGGAGTGTGACATGTGGATTGCTGGAGTGCTGGAGTGTAGAATTCGCAGTGTAGGGTGTAGAACGTGGATTGTGAAGCGGGCCCCGTAGAGTTTCGAGTGTGAAGTGTGGTGTGTGAAAAAATATTGAGCGTAGGAGGGCGAATTGTTTGAAAGGGGCTAGTGGGGTCTAAAGTGTAGAGGGCGCAGTGCACTCAAGTCGATGGGCGCAGCCTGGGCAGCATGTGCAGCTGAGTAGGGCAAAGTGTGCTTAGAATATGTGCGGCCTGCAAAATACATGCAGGGGGCATGAGAGCGCGGGGAGCGCGTACAGTGTGGAGCGCGGGGAGGTGGAGTGAATAGTGCGCGCATATGGAGTGAAGAGGGTGCAGTGTGAAGCATGCATGGTGGGTGGAGGGCACGCAGTGTGCAGGGTGTGAGGGATGCGCAGAATTTAAAGTGTGGAGTGCGAAGTTCAGGGTGTGGAGTCTAGAGTTTGAAGCAATGTAAAGGCTAGACTGCAAGGTTTCCAGTGCTTGAGTGCTGCGGATGCACTGGTGCGGTGTGCAACAATGCGTACAATCATGGTCCTAGTTTCATTGCTGTTCGTGCATAGGTCCACCCACTGTTCGGTGTTTTCCGGTCTGGTCTCTTAGGGATGCGTTGCAGGCTGAAGTTCTGCGTCTGAAGCTTCGCCGAGAGACTCGCCGTGCAGAGACCTTCGCCGAGCACGCGCTCCATGCACACAGACGTGCCGTGGCGTGTGACTTCAAACGCGGCAGGCAAAAAAAATGCATAAGGAGGCCGCAGAAGTTGGGCTTCTTTAAAATTCAAGCTTCCAATGCTGTTTTTAAAGATGGCATGATGACATGTTGGTTCCTGTTCGCAACTTAATTTGTTCGACGTAGGTTCCAAAAAGAAGCCACAAGAAGAAGTATAGACAGGAACCAGATACAGCACTGTGAGATGACGATCGTTCAAAGTTGTTTTCAAAAGTTTTGTGCCAGAGGATGATAATTCATGTCAATTAAATTCAATGATTCGCTTTTAACGCTGGCAAAGCTGTTTTTCTTGTGCCTGCCCAAAGATAGATTCTATTGTAGTTGTTCCTGAATGCTTTCTTATTCCGCAGAGCGCTTCAAAGAGGAGCGAAAATTTTACATTGTCATATCCCATACCTTCACATCCTACATCTGCAAATCTTACATCTTCACATCTTACATCTTCACATCTTATGTCTGGATTCCTTACACTTTCATATCTTACAATTTCAGATCTTACATCTTCACACCTTACGTCTGCAGATCTTACATCTGCAGATGTAAGGGATTTGATGCATTTATTTGGCATGCATGGTGTGAGCGCTTTCTTTTTTGACCATTGTGGCCCGATCCCCATTTACAGGCCTCCAGCCAATTGGTACGCAACCCATGCAAAAAGAGCTTCCGACTGCGTTTGCTTGAGATATGTTGTTGTACCTTCCGCATTTGACAGTTGCACCGGAACTTGGACTTTCGCAGGGGCCTTTTTTCCCCACATCTTTGTATGGGGTTCTTGTTTTTGATTCTGTATCCCGCCGCCTCGTCCTCGGCCTCCTCCGCCTCCTCCCCGCCTCCGCGTCATCCACCATTTTTCATATCAATTTTTGTCACATACCATCTTTCACACACCATCTTTGTCACCTATCTCTCACACACCAACTTTCTCATACACTATCTTTCACACACAACTTTGTCAGACACTATCTTTCACACACAACTTTGTCAGACACTATCTTTCACACACAACTTTGTCAGACACCATCTTTCACACACAACTTCGTCGCACACTATCCTTCACACATAATTTTATCGCCCATCTTCTTTACACACAACTTTATCTCACACCATCTTTCGCATACTAAGTTTGACATACACCATTTTTCATTCTCGCCTATTTTTCACACACCATTTTTGTCACCCACTATCTTTTACACACCATCTTTGTCACTCCCCATCTCTTTCACTCACCATTTTTATAACACACCATTTTTGAATTACCAATTTTCTCTTACACTATGTTTCACACACAACTTTGATACTTTTCATCTTTCACATACAACTTTGTCGTACATTAGCTTTCATACACAACTTTGTTTTCCATTTCTTTTTTTAGATACAACTTTATCACCCACCATTTTTTACACATAACTTTGTCACCCACCATCTTTCACATATAACTTTCTCATACACTATCTTTAACACAGCTTCCGTGCCAGGCGTGCAGGCATGGAACAGATAAATACACCTGTTTTTGGCGACAAATTGTTTCTCATGCATGCTCAGTATTTATCTGCACATTTTCCGGCTCAAATAATTTCATTTCCAACACTTTGCATCAAAGATTCGTTGCAGTTGCCAATAATATTTTCACCACCGTATTCAAAAATTCAATGCGGACATTTTTCTCTGGCACGTCAATTAATTGTTTGGACAATGGCATTCAATTCCCCATATGGCAGGACCGAACCATTTCGCTCAGGTTGTCGGCAAAATCAGTTCTAGTTAAACATTGGATAGGAGGGTATCATTTTTTCTTGCAAACATTGTGTGAAACGGCTGCGGAAATCACAGCTGTGTCACAGCCTCAGGAGGGACGTTTGGGAAGACGGCAAAGAAGAAAAATTGCAGTCAGAACCCGAGACAAATTTGGAGCAAAACAGAAACTCATCCACGTTGGCTTTATGGATGTAACGCGCAGTCGACAAAATCTGTGTGCTTTTGAAGTAACCTTACTACCTGATTTTGATGTAGTTGTCTTGATAAGTCGGTGGAGTGGGAATGCATTGTAGCGTGACTGGCAACAGTGTTCTCAAGCTCAATGTCACCGTCTCAACACAACACTGGGCAGTTGGTAAAGGTTTCTGGCACACAACGTTCAGAGCCAACACATTTGACATGGAAACAAATGGAACGTATACTCCACCTGAAAACATGTTTGTAACTGTGGTCAGAAGGTTCCTTTCAAAAAACGTATACTCCAAATTGAAAAAATATGGTTTGTGTTTGTGGTACTTGTTTTGTTTGGTACTATCTAATTCTTCGTTGTGTTGCCTTTGGCACTCTGCCAATGGCCGCCCTGCGATCCTTGCGATCCCTGCGATTTCAATGGTTAATCCTTCTGCTGAGCAACTTGGAACTGGAAATAGATTAGAAACATGTAGACGAACAGACAAGGGAACATTAGACGAACATTTGTTATTTCCCAAATTTAGTTGACATGGGAAAATCAAAAATGCAAAGCAATTGAGGTTTGGACTGGTTTCAAAAAAATAATGAACCTCGCGCAATGGAGTGAATTGTCAAAGGATCGGTTCTGGGGAGTCCTCACGAGGCCGGGAAATTTGACAAATCAAAAGGTCAAAAACCAAACGTTTCTTGAACATGTTGTATTCACTGTATTCTCACTGTATTCACATGCTTTGATTACTTTGATTGCCCAGAGCCAGCTGAAGGAGTTCCAGATGCAGACAAAAATCCATCGGACGCATCAAGATTATGGAATTGGCAAAATTAAGCCAACCTCCCCTGCAAGGACTGGAAGACTCTGAAATCACTCCTGTTTTCGAGATCTAGTTCTGCAAGTTCATGTATCAAAATTCTACAGAACTCTTGGAATGAGGAGACTGCAGCAGCAGACCTGTGAGGACGTTCATGCAGCACCTCGGTAGATCTTGCGGCAGTGCCAAGGTTTGCTGTCAAACATTTCCATTATTTTAGCAAGAGAGGGAGTGGAAACAAATTGGAAACTGGTTCCTGTCACCATGTGCACTTAATGGTTTTTTTTTGAGTGATACTCTCCGACTCTGTTTTGTACGCTTGTCATGCTTGTCATCAAACATTATCCTCTCTAGGTTTTGAGTTCTTTGGTTTTCTTCTCCCAATTTCCAAGGATTTACGTCTTGAAACTGCAATTCCATTTTTTTTCTGATCTTTACCCCAGGCATTTGTCAGGTTACTTTTTGCAACTTGAAACTCCCGTCAGGCTTTGAGCTGGGAACCGATGAGGACCATGTTTCGTGATGATTTCTTGTTGGTGTTGATTGAGATGTACTGGCCACGCAACCCAGCCCACTCAGTCCATGCAAACCTATGTAGGAAAGTTGTATTGTTTCTAGGCAGGGCTTCACAAAGTGGTGAGTTGACTTCAGAGGATCGGATATGAACTAATTGATGTGGAGTCTGTGGCAACTGCAACTGTTGACCTCGTTCAAGACACGCTTATGGCACCTTGTAACAAATCGAAGAGCGACCGAGCGACCTTCACGATGTCAGCAACTCTTGGAAGCATGGAGTAATCCTAAGATTATGCAAAACACACAGAAAAGTCCTTCAAACTCCTTGAAATCAATCCAACCTATTGTTCTCACAAAAGGTTTGGGCTCAGTTGGACCCCAGTCTATCTGACGCAAGCTGACCTCTGATACGTCTGAGGCGCGAGCTGTGGCATTCTGGTCTTCAGCACTCCAAGTGCGACGGGTCCTTTCGATGCAGCCCACGTTTTCAAAAAATGTTACGATTTTTTTACAGAAACAGGTTTAGTTGTTCGAAATTGGGGGTCAAGACATCTCACAGGCCCACCACTTTGGCACACCAGTTACCGACTGTATCACCAGACCGGAATTCCAACGTAGTTCCTGAGTTCCTACTGACCTACTGGGTTCCAGTATCAGTGCTGGAAATCCGAAGCATCTGTTTGCATGTGCTGCGGCAAACTAAGGCCCAAGGACCTCTAAAGATGGATCCTGCTGGCATCGGATGCTTCAAATATGACACCTGGGCAAAGCTGTTGACAGTTGACCACAGTTGACAGCAAAAAAAGATCGGAGTTCTCTATGAGTTCTCTGCTTATTCATTTGTAAGTTCTACATCCAAATCTTGTCGGAAAGAGTGGCCGCCAGTGGGCTCATGAAGTGAGTGGTCTGCTAAGTCTGTCTCGTGACTTCTTGCTTCGATCAAAGGACAACATATTGCAACGTGTTTTGAATGTTTTAAACGCCATATTTCGACATTGTCCATCATTGTCCCAAGGAGTTTGACACCGACTTTCGTTGCACAGCCTTGCAAACACCCACCTGCGGCGGAGTCTCTGTACCAGCGAAATATTTGATTCTTAGCTCACTTGGCTCACGCTATGCCAGAGATCATTCAGAAAGAACTGATAGATAGTGATGATTGTGGCAGTCTTTCATGTCATTTCACTGGTCATTTCACTTGTCATTTCACTTTGTTGGATTGTATTCATTTCGGATCACTTCGGACGGTATGTGAATGCCTTCCCATGCGAGGAGGGGAGGCCGCGCTTGTTCCCAGACCTGTGTGCCTTGACACGTCACCGCACGAGGATTTGAAATACCCTTGAATAAGGGACAAAACAATACAATACATGAATAATCATGAAATTATCATGAATATATGATATACGATACGTTACGATACTAAACAGGGGTTAAACATGGTTAAACAGGGGTTGTATCATGTCATTCAATTCGAAGGGTCAGGGCCTTTCAAATGTGACTTTGAAGAGTCGTTAACGCCATGACTTCACGTAACGCAGTACGCAACTCATGAATCATGTTAACTTGCAACTCACTTTAACGCAACACACGTAACTGGACGTAACTCTTCACGCGTGCCTTGCCGCCTCGGAGCCAGGTGCCGAGTTACTCGTGCTCCGGCAATTGCGTCTCAGGCGAGGCACGTCAAGAAATGCTTGAAACAGGGTAAGGACCGGTAAGGACCAGTAAGGACCAGTAAGGATGTCAAGAAATGTCAACAAATGGTCGGAATCTTGTCATGAAGCAAGTTGTGGATGTCCCAAAAGATGTCGGAAATATGTCAAATCTCAACACTATCTGAGAGGATGTCCACAACTGTGTCAAGAACTATGTGCAAGTGGTGTCACAACAGTCGTTGACTCGTACTTGTATCAGGTAATACCTGTGCATGTGACGTGGATGTGTGGCAAAACGACAGCTCAGGCGCTGACAACAGGGTCCTAGGTTCCCAGGGACCAGGGAGGTCCCCAGGAGGTTCCTTTGGTTCTTTAGCTTGCATGAGTTGTATCCTTTCAAATGAAGCTACTTGGAGCCCACTACACACTTTCCGACAACCGAAGACTTTGAAATGTTGCAAAAAAAATGCAAAAAACATGTCATGTCTGTCAAGTCTTAAAGTTTAAGGAGGTGAAATTCCGGTGAAACGGAGAGATGACGAGAGGACGAGATGAGGACGAGACATTTCGCCAGGATACTGCTGCTCACTCTCTCCTGGAGCAAGTTGTCCAAGTGGCTGTTCAGTGCAGACGGCTGTCAAGGTTGGCAGTGGAACTACAGGTGGCTTTGTGTGCGAAGCAGATTGTACCGAGACATCAGAAGGTCAAGGTGCAGAGAATGAAGATCTGCACATTTTCGTCACCATCAAGGATTCTGTCGTTTTCTGACACAGATTAATATTGATTTACGCTCTGGTTATTTGACATGACATAGCTATGGAAAATGACCTATTTGTAGATGATGTACCGATGTACCTATTAAAATGGTGAGTTTTCATGGCTATGTTAAACAACCAAAGGGTATTTTAATCTATATTCTTTGTCTTTTGTGTGAGAGTTTGTCTAATTTTTGGAGGAGTCTAAGGCTTCGATGTTCTATTTTTGGTTCTTTGTTAGGTTCTTGTCCAAGACTTTGAAGATTCTCAGGAATGCCAAAACTCGGATGCTCTCTTGGCATTTGCTATATCCTGTGCTGTTGATCAGTGCGATCGACCTATCTTTGGAACCATCAATTTTTGTCCATTGAAGCTGGTTACAGACGACATCAACATGCTGGTCTCCACGGCCATTCATGAATTGGCTCATGCTGCTGGCCGTTGAAAGCAACGTTTTAAAGTTTTTGTTGGACAAGGGTCCACTTGTGCCAGAAACAAGTGGTTTTTGATGGTTTTGAATGGTTTTGATGGTTTTTGCTTCACAGTTGCTGCAAACCCGAAGACCAAAACAATGCTCATCAGACGGATGTTGTTCATTTGTGGCAAGTACTCCCAAAGCAACACTTTTTTTTCCAAGCGATTCTGATGCAAGCATAAGCCGCACAGATTGCACAGAATGGCGAGTTTGGTGCTGTTTGGGTTCCCTGTTTGGATTTGTTTGGTGCGTTAGGGTTCCGTTAGGTCCTGGTTTTCAGCAACACGCACTTCCAGAACTTCCGCTACTCCAATGGCTCGCCAATCATTCCTCGATTGGTAGAGGATGAGACTCGATTCCAGGACGAGGTCATCTACACTTGCAGCAGTTCTGGCTATCAATGGAATGTAGCAGCGGGAAACTTGAGGCGCATGGCTTTGAGACAATGGCAAGTGCATGGCAAGTGCGTGGCAAGTGCGGCAAGCTCAAAACAAGTAGAATAGATTGGAATAGATTAGAAAAAGTAGAACGTTGCTCTGTAGTGACCAAATTGATCCAAATTGTTTTGTCTCTTGAACATGTTGGCAACATGTTGGCAACATGTTGGCAACATGTTTTGACATAGCGCATCTATTGACTCAAAATGCACGTCAGGTATGTAGACATCAGCCCGACAATTGTGAACTCCTTTTCAGAGAGGGGTCACTTGTCTGAAGTGAGGTCATATGTGGACAGGTCCAAAATCGTCTTGCGATTTGTTTTGGACATTTATGACATTTATGAATCGGACATGAAATCTCAGGCTACAATTGCCAATGTCCTATTGGTAAAAGCGACATTGCTGCAGGTGGGGGTGTGCCATGGTTAGGGAGAGTCAAACAGAATCCAAACTACTAAACTTAGTTGATTGCTACGCTGCTACATCAAATCTACATCATGCCAAATCCTGGACAGTTTATTTTTTTGGGCACCACTGGTCGGATGAGACGGCTCCGAACCCCCGAAGCTGTGAATCAAAGATCTTTTGCTGATTTTGCATCCGCAGGATGCTTTTATCCTTCTCCACCATTCCTTCAACTTCCTAGCTGCGTGCTTCGAATGACAACTCCAACTGTCTTGGCGGAGGCGAATCCTCAGAATCGGCTTCCGAAATGCCTCCAAATTTGTCAATTTTGAAATGTTTGGAACGATTTCATCAGAGAGTCAGGGCTCATGGGCTCATTTTTTCGACTGTTGTGACATGTTGTGACATGTTGTGACTGTGAGTTGACAGAGTCTTGACGGTTGAAAGTTGCTTCATAGTCTGTCAAAGAATTGCTTCATAACTCTTCACAGTTGCAATTGAAACTAGTTGAAACTAGTTGAAACTTGTTGCTTCATTGGCTCTTGCGGACTTTTCTGTTTTCATTTTTGTCCCGTGATGGCTTTGGGTGCCCAATGGTGCCTTGGGTGCCCAATGGTGCCCAGGTGAGAAATTTCTTTGAGTGTCCAACCCTGGAGGGTGCGGAGTTGGAGAATCAAGAAGGCAGGACCGGATTCATCCGTTAGCCACGCTGGGGTCACAATGAATTAGAGGGAAAATGATGAACAAAAAGGCTTTAACCCGGAAACCAGATGATGATGATGATGATGATGATGATGATGTTTGTTTGTTTGTTTGTTTGTTTCTGAATCAATCGATGTTTTTTGCTGTTTCACATTTCGTTTTTTGTTCCTCGGTTTCCTACTTTGTGGTGTCAGTTTGATTTGCAAGGGTATTTGAAGCATCTTTTTCTCAGGGCGAGTAGCGGTTTATTTGCTGCCCATTTCTGACAATCTCCGAGGCAATGGTTGTAGCATCATCGGATCCCATTGGGAGCAGCGTGTCTTCGCGGGCGAGATAATGTCTCCTGTTTCGACGGAAAGGTTGGTGAACACCTACGTATCACGAGTCAGTTGCTTGTCAAAGGGACTGTCCAGATGTGCCGAGAGTCCAGACGCCGGGCCAAAAGAGAAGGGACGTGACACATGAAACAGACGTGTAACACGTGTAACACGTGTAACACGTGTAACACGTGTAACACGTGTAACATGGTTCGAAACAGACATTACATGTGATAGACATGTAACATACATGTATGTGAAATGCATATTACATCATATTACATGTATTTAGATGTCACATGTAGCATCTCGTTGATCCACTTTTTCAGCTTTGGTCCCATGGCTGGTGTACCGACTCAGACAATATATTTCTTATATGATTTGTATGATTTTGTATATCAATCGTATCAAATCGTATCATATATTTTTCCTCAGGGTTCACGGTTAACGTGCTGGCCTTCTTTCAGGGAGGGTTTGAGATGGTTTGAGCTTCTTTGAACTGCGGGTGTGATCCACAAAAGCCACGAGTCGTCACGAGTCGTCACGAGTCGTCAGTCAGCCTAAGGTCTTGCCGTTTTCCAGGATTCGGGTTGGTACCAAGCCGATATGTCTGCAGCTGATCCATTGGTGAAGGGTGTTCATTGGGGCTACAAGCAGGGCTGCAATTTTGCGACGGCAAAATGCGTCGACAACGATGTGCCTGTCTCAAAAGTCTTCTGCAGTGCTGACAATCAAGTAAGCTGCTCATTGGATCGCAAAGCCGTCGTGACGTGTGACGCTTGCCGGCACAGACAGAGTGAACAAACACGCAGTGATGGAGATGCTTGGAATGTCTGAAACAGAGACTTCTCTGTCACTTCCGAACCGTTCGCAGACGCTTCCTTTGTGACCATCGGACAATCTGAGGAGATTGGTTCTGCATATAATTCTTTACCGGCAGTCTATTCCTACACAAGCAGCTTGAGGTTGGGAGGGTCACCAGAAATGGACTACTGTCCGCACTTTGCCATTGGTCTCAGCAATCGTACCTAGCTTTCAATTCGCCAAAATCTGGAAAGCTTTCACTTCATTTTTTTTCAATTGCATATGCCACAATGTGACAATGCGTAACCTGCCACATGACAAAGGTTTGAACACTTCACAAGCAACACTTCCCTGTCACACGGTGGTCTTTTGACAGCTCAGGTATTTGCACCAGCAACGCAAGTCTCACGGTGCCTTTCACGAAGCTCGTAAGAACTGTTTCAGCTGTTTTCGGCTATGGTCCGCTGTATTGGAAGCATGTGACTTCAAAAAAAATGTATACATTTGCAATCATTTGCATATATTTGCATACTTGTGACTTAGGGCATCTGAGGAACGTGAATTTTATGCGCGAAGTCTTCTCCGAGCAAAGCCGGTGCTTCATGAGCACCTTGCACGCCGATGCTCCCGCCATAGGTGGAGGCAGGACGTCGCTGTCACGAAGCATTCCGAACATGACAGGTGTGTTTCCGTCGTCGCACCAGGCGCCTTCGAGGCTCCTTCAGATCAGTTCACAGATGCCAGGCGAAGTCTTTTTGATGCGCAGAGGATCTGAGCAAAGATGCAATGTATCTGTATCGTAAATTGTATGACATTGTACTGATATGTACTGATCATATATATATATATATGTAATTTTTTACTGTAGATTATCTTTGTAGATACATATCATGTGACTAGGGATTACTATATTGTTCCAACCCTGATGGTCACCAGACAGGTTCAGTGAAGTTTTTTTTCAACTTTACTAAGTAGTAGAGGTATTGGAACCATCTCTGCAAATGGAAGGCCTGTATGCTACAATGTCGAGTGTGCAACTGATGGCTCTAGCTACGACTTGAAGGTGGGAATTTGCCAAGTTTTGTTGAGATGTTTTGTTTGCTAGAGGTGGCTAATAGATGTTAATAGACGTTAACAGATGAACAATCCAATGTTTCCCCAAGGACTTTACATACTTTCAAGAATACTGTGCTGACCTGTCAATTTCCAATAAATGGACACAGAATTTGTTTGGTGTGTCTTGCTGAATGTGAATAATGTCATGTGCAAACTTGGCTGAAGCGCCTGAGGTGGAGGATCTTTCAACCGCAAGCGCCCTGATGCTATTGGGGACATGTTTTTTAGAAGGTCAATCCTTGCTACTTGGCGATGTGGCACAACTGAGAAAGTTATAGACCTCCAAAAGTGCTTGAAAGAAAGGTAGTGGATTGAGCTATCATCCGTTGGATTCCGGAAATCGGGCTCGGCTATCGAATCTTTCGATCATGTTGGGAATTCCGTGCAATTTTGGTGTTGGATATGTTCCAAATTGTTCCAATATTCCAAGGACCATGCAGGGTGGAGGCTCGCATTTGTGGATGCGTTGTAATTACGCTGTTTCTATGCGAGGTTTCAGGTCGAACATGTTCCAGACCTGGCTGATGCAACGGAGAATTCTTTCAAGTCCACATGACCTGAACATGACCTGAACATGACATCTAGGACATTTCTAGACATTTCCAGATTTTTTTCCAAGTTCTGAAGAAGTTTTTCGAGATTTTTGAAGAGATTTTGATTTTTTTATTTTGTTTTTATTCCCTTGGGTGCCCCGGTCTTTCTTGTTGTTCATTTGTTCAGCGGGCGGAGACGAGCGGGAGACTTCCACTGTGCCTTGAAGCAGCTTGCTGAAGGGCGCAGATGGCAGGTCATCATTTTATCTCTGGACACCGCGGTTTCCTTAGAATATGGCAATTTGATGACAGGCACTGCTTCATGGGAGACCCTACAGACGCTCTATCTGGATGGACGAGTAGCAGCCACTTTATGTGGCCCGCCGTGTGAAACCTTCAGCGAAGCCAGATTTACGGAGGCCCCCGATGCCGACACCCACTGGCCCAGGCCATTGCGATCAGCAGATCGCCTATTCGGCCTCGAGGGACTCACTATGAAGGAGCTGAAACAGTGCTCCGTCGGCAGCTCATTCTTTCTACAGTGTATCTGGGTGCTTTGTATCCATATTGTGTATGGAGGGTGCTATGTGGCGGAGCACCCGGCCCTGCCATTTGACGTTACAAGGCCCAGTATTTGGTCAAGCCCAATTGTTCAATTGCTTTTACAGCTCCCAGGTTTGCATTTACATCATGTGGCACAGTACCGTTGGGGTGCTGAGGCGGTCAAGCCGACCGGACTTCTGACGTGGGCAATGCCGTTTTTCCCAAGAGACCTGTATGACAAGGCTCTCGACGGCGCGGCTAAACCTACAACAGTAGCCATTGGAACAGATGAACATGGTCGTTTCCGCACATCTCGCCACAAGGAATACCCTGGGCCTGTCTGTACAGCAATTGCCAACACTTTTGCTAGACAGTTTTGTAGGGTTGTTCAGGCTGGTTGGCGCGTTCTACTCCACCAGTTCAGCCTGCCCAGAAAGAGTGGATCTCTTCTGCGGCGCTTGCGAGTGAGATTATCAGGGCCGATGCACAGTGGCTTCCTGATTTTCAAAATCTCTAATTCGACGCATGCCAATGTGCGGCAAGGGAATAGACCCTTTCGAAGCCTGAAATGAAAAAATGAAAAAATGGATGCAGTGCTTGTCGTCGTTATATCGGGACGTTTGGGACGTCAATCGCAGGTGGCTCCGTGAGCTGCGCAGATCCGGCAGAGGTGCAGGGCACAGCTGGACACGAATCGACACAGCGAAACACGAATCATTTGGATCATTTTGGATCTCCATGTGGAGATATTTGGAGACTCGAAAAAAAACTCTCCTGATTTTTGATGATTTTTGATTCAATTTTTCTATTTCGATTCAATTTGCAATTTGGTTTGAGTTCCATTTGAGTTCCATGAGTTCCAAAAAAATCACCATTCCTTCGAGGTGTTCAAACGGGGAGTTTGTTTGAACACTTTTTTGAACACTTTGAAGACTTTGAACAAGGTATGAAATTTGGACATGGCATGACAGAGCCAAACCGACGAAGCTGACAGCCTGTTCTAGGCTGTTCTAGGGTTCTAGGTGCCGCCTCGTTCGCTCAGGTTTGTTCTGATTTGACCCCAAAGCACGTGAGTGCAGGAGAGGGAATCACACCAGGCTCTGGGAAAACATGTTGAGCGCCCAAAATGAGACTGGCGATGCATGATACTCGGTGCTTCAACCAGGTTCAACCAGGTTCAACCAGGTTCAACCAGGTTCAACCGTTACAGATTTGGTGGAAGTGGAAACCAATTTTGTTGCAGGACTGACCACGTCGACCACATCGACTACATCGACTACATCGACCACATCGACCACTTCCACAACAGGTCGGATGCTTTCCTCAGGGGCATTCTCTCGTTTTCTCTGATTTCTTTCTGGACATTTCTGGACATTTCCGGACATTTTCGAAAGGTTTTGTGATGCTTTGCGGTGCTGACACCGCTAGGTGGTTCGAGTAGCACGTCAACGACTTCCACAGGCTCAACCGGCTGAGATGCTTCCAGAGCGTTTGGTGATCCACTGGATCAGTGTTTTGAGAATTTGGCCACTAAACTGGCTACACTTTCTGTTTTGAGAATTTTGAGATCCAGGCTGAGCCAAGTATAGCATTTTGATGTCAATCAATAAACCGCTCGGGACATTTCCACTTCAGTTTCCAGGACAGTGCTCCCTTCGGACTTGAACTTGTGGATCTTGTGCCGAACATCTCAAGCCGATTCAATCTGATAGCCAGGCACAGATGGTTCGACTTCCCAAAGTGCATCATCGACAGGTCCAAGCTCGGTGGAGTTGCGCCGTTGACACGACTCACGACTCTATTCAGTCCAAGACATTCCAAGACCTTTGTTGCAAATTGTAGGAAGATGTAGGAAGATGTACGAAGGAATTTGAAGATACATCATTGACCGATTGACCTTTGCACGGTTTGTTTGCCATGCAACGTACGATTTTGCTTCCAAGCAGTTGAACCCTGCTCTCTTGACGCATCCAGCTTTTACACTGTTCTTTTGAGTAAGGGTAAAACCATAAGTTTCCAAAGGTTTCCTTGTTGTCAGAGAAAATGCTGGGAGAGCAGTTGTAAGAAGACTTTTCCGAATGCTAGCAGACTTCCCAAGACATCACTGGAGGATATAGATAAGGCTTTCATCAGCTCTTACATGCTTTTGCTGTCTTTGTGTGAAAGTGGTGGTACTCAGCCGCACATTTGTCTGTTGTCAGGCAATCCTGGCGACACAACCACCACCACCCTTACAACGCCACTCAGCTTGAATAGCAGAATGCTTGAGCAGAGTTCTTCAGCTGAACAAATTGTTGAGAAACAAGAGTTCTTGAGCACCACGGTCTGCTGGGCGGGAGCAATGAAACCCACAAGGGGATTTCTGCCTCACTGCCATTAGACTCTACTGGTACATTCACTGACCAACTTAGTTTCGCGCAATCGGAAAGAGGACTCCACTGAGTGAAAAGCACATTCCGTGACAGACCTTTCACTACAGTTTGGAAGTCCCCAGGTAGGCCCCAGCATTCCCCAACTAGAATATTTAGAAGGCTACAACACATATCAGGGCCACGCAACTGGAGGGTTCCGTCCATGGTCCCCGAAGACCTTGGGCCATCGCTAGGGCATAGAAAAAGTATGCAAAAGTGCCTTTTGTATCTTTTTGTTTCTTTTGACACGAAACAAGGTAAAGCAAGATAAAACATGATAAAACATGATAAAACATGATAAAACATGATAAAACACTATCTAATAAATAAATAAATATATATATATATATATATTATAAATATGATATACAAGACACGGATTCATGTCGCAAGATCTGCCAAGGTCAGTGACGCTCGATGAAATAGTTCGGAACTCAGGGCAAGATTGGCCAAGTTCCCAAAACCTGATGCAATGAAACACAGACCCACAAAAAGTTGACTAATGCGACATACTAATGCGACATTACATGATATTAATATGATATTACACCTATGAGAGGATGACTTGAAGAGGTTGCCACAAAGTACAACATGATCAACATAATCAACATGCATCTAAGATCATCTAAGTCTTTCTTTTGTATCCCAGACCACTCATCAACCTTTTGTATCCCAGAATATCCCAGATGGTTTTCCGCTGAGGAGTCAATAGGTTGGGCAAAGCAAAGCGCGTGCTTTCTGACGGAGCTGAACCTCATTGCATTTTTGCTTCCTTTGACTTGGAGCTGAATCTGAAGTGCCCGGGGCACTTCGGGCACTTCCCATTCTGCTCGTGTCAGTGGCTGTCAGCTTATGCTTTCAATGCCACAATCAAATGTATTTTGAAGTTTTGTATTTTCGAAAGTTGTCAGTAGACGAGGTGGTGATCTTTGACTCTCGGTTGTTAGGTTAAGTTATCCGTGTTACTGGGTCGTACCTGTTGTACACCTGTCTATGAAATATTTGTTTTGTTTGGCTTTCTGCACCTTTTTGTTTTTGCAATGCAAGCGCAAGCACCAAGTGCTCCTGCTTCGCATAGCGCCGGGCTGTCTCCAAAGGAGACCCCGTCGCGGGAAGTGGCAAAGGCATCGAAAAATCATTGGAGAAAGGATGGGAAAAGGATAGGAAAAGGATGGGAAAAGGAGAGATCTTTCAAGGAATCTGATGAAACCACCTGCATGCAGAGGAAAGATTTGGAAGCCTTCCCCGAGAATCATTTGAAAGTTTGTTCTTGTTTCTATCATTCTTAATTCTTATCATTTCTCATCAGTGTTTCCGATTCGAATCGTTGTCTATATTTTCCATGTTGCTTTTCAAGTCTACTGAGTCTACTTTCTCAACATGTTCATGGCACTCCTTGAAGATCTCCTCGGCGATCAGGTCGGCAGATCTCTCAAGGTGCAGATATTTTGGGCATTTTTTGGGCAATTTCTACATCCCCAAAAATGAAAAAAATCAAAAGGTCCTGCAGGTCCTGGTCCACTGGAGTCACTGGACACTCTTGGAGATCTTGGAGCGATGAGATTCAGCAATTGGGGCTAGATCTTTCAGGAACCCGCCCTGGCAATCCCTGGCACCCTACCACTTTCCGAAATGCAACACATGCAACACATGCAACTACCTACGGCGTACCTACGGTATTGCCCCTTCAGACACATTCTGCATTGAAATCAATGTTTTTCAATGTGATTTTGTAAGCGTGTTGTGAGTCGTGTCTTGAAAGATACAAAATCAATACACTGATTCTACACGCACCCCAAGGCCCCACACTTTGCCTATTCTTTGGTGTCTTTGCAGATCTTTGCCAGAGCCAGGTTTGGGCACCAGGAGAATCAACGAGTCTGATGCTAAGACAAGTTTTTCGGACTCTCAGGTTGGATGCATTGCCCATAGATATATCATAGATATATCATGATACGTGATGATTATGTACTCTATAAGTTATGCGGATTTTCCCATGAATGATAAAGCTGCAGTGCCGCGAAGTCCTTGGAATATGTTCCATTCTGAGAGATGCTGATTGCGTCTTGTGCGAACAGAAAGGAGAAAATAAGGCAACAGTCGGCAACAGGTTGTGCTGCGCCAACGCTGTGATTTTCGTTCCATTCCTCCTAGACGTGCTAACTCCGTGTTAACCGAACCTTTCTGCCGTCCAAATGAGCTCTCAGATGGTGTCGACACCGAACTCTGCGGCGCTCAATGAGGTAGGAATGGGACAAACAGAAAAAACATGAAAAGACCAGCAAGACCCGTACGATTCAATTCTGACCGGTCTCTCAACATTTACATTCGATGCCTTCATGACCTCGTATGAATCGTATGAACCATATGGATTCCATATGGTATCAGATTTGGAGATTTGGTATCATTCGGATTCATTCGCTATCAAAGTCTCACGCTGTCGGATCTTGTCGGGCTTGGTGCCAGAGAATTGAGTCAGGTGCTGCGTCAAATGCACGAAGAGAAGTCTCGCCACCAGGCCAGAGCCCAAGGAAGAGGCTCAGATTGCACCACATAAGAACAGGGGTCTGGAGGGAGGTTGGCGGTGCTGGCAGTGCTTGACATGCCTCGGTTCAACCGAACCTCGGTTCAACCGAGGTTGAGATGGAGAAATTGAAAGTTGAAGTCAAGTCTCAGCAGGCAAGGCTATGATGTGCCATGGCTAAGCAGACCCTATAAACCGCGATTTTGCTTGGCAAATTCCCACATCCCAAAACAATCATGGTCCAACCTGGACACATCTGGACATTCTGTTTCACTGTTGATTCTTTTCGCATTCCAACTGCTTGAATAAACATGAATTGAATGGACTATGGAGATGTTGTTAGATGGCATTGGCTGTGTTCTCAACTAAGCTAAGAGTAGCAGGTCTGGGTTTAACCGTTTAGCCACGCTTAGCAAAGTCCAATAGGGATTGGGGGCTGGACGATTTCGCATTCCGATGGATCTTGAGCTGGAGCTGCGACAGAACAATATTTGTTTTTATCGTTTTGGTTTCGGAACCTCGCGAATTGTGCGAAGATTTCACTTTCGAATTGGTTGGGATCTTTTTTTTTTTTGATTTTTGGTTTGCGATGGAGCAAAGATCTTTACGGAACAGCCTTTGTTCTACCCTAGGGCAGGGGTCGTGAGTGTAGAGAAAAGCTCAGAACACAAAGCAGAATCTCAGCCTTACAGCTGCGCCATGGGCGAAGAGCGAGAGCGTTCCTTTCAGCTTCATGAGGATTCCGAGAGAGAAAACATTCCAAAACTGCCGGTTGTCAAATGTTGTCAAATGTTGTCAAATGTTGTCAAATGTTGTCAATGTATGTCGTATTTTCAGGCCAATTATCATTGTTCGATCTTGTTAATTCTAGGCATAGCAGGTTGCAGCACTGCAGAACTGCCGATTGCCATAGGATTCAGCTGTGCCATGTGCCAGGAGCCTCCGGTACGCCTGCAGCTTCGGGAGCATCAAACTGCGTCTGCTGGAGGTTTTCTGCCTGGAACCAAAAGTCGCAGCCTCTTTGGAGAGAGTCCCGCCACTTGGCACCACGATTTCTCCACGAATTCTTCACGAATTCTTGAGGAGTTTCTGATTTTTGGCAGGTTTCAGAGTTTCAGATGCAAGTCACTTTCAGTCCATGCGAAACCGGACCTTTCTGTTTGGAGAGTTCTTAAGGTGCCAGATCGTGCTCTGCCGCCGCTTCAGGGCAATTTAGGCAGGTACCCATGGCTCCATGAAAGTTCTCTAAGTTCTCTGTCTTGTAATTTACTTGTAATTCTAATCACACAGCTGACATATCTTATCAATAGCTTATCAATAGCTTATCATAGCTTCCAGGTCAGAACTTCTCAGAACAGCTTTCATTTTCATTCATTTTCATTCATCTTCATTCATTTTCAGCCTTGTGGTACACTTGTAGTGCTGGTCTATGTGTTCTTGTAACGCCACGGTGCAGGAGATCAGTTGAAGTCTCAGCTTGTTGAGCTGGGAAACTTCGTTGGCTCCTTGCAACTTCGGGCAGAAAACCGTTCCTCTGAAGGTTCCGGAAACGTGAAAAACATGGAAAAACCTGAAAAAAAACATGAAATAACTGGAAAGCTGAGATCCAAGCATTCGGGAAACAGTGCCTCTTGCCTGAGTCGAGATGTCAACATTGCGCAGAATTCATCATGGCCACGGTTTTTATGAAGACTGCACGTCACACCTTTTGCAGCACCCAACTGTTGCAGGTGACAGTCGTGGGACTCAAAATGAGCCAGTGCAGCTTGGGGCAATTCTTTAGAGAAAATGCGATGCATGTTATTAAACTACCAAGAATACAGAGACTCTTAGGAACTTCCAGATCTCAAATGTGAAATCTTCTTGTTGATCATCTGACAATATCTGACAAATATGTTACTGACAAACAAACATGTAACATGTATGTTCTTCCATGTTCTACCGTTGCGCAGTTGGAGTCACTCCGAGTGTTTGCAGTGGGCCTTGCAGAGGTCGGAGACGGCTGAAACTGCAGCGGCCGGCTACCCGAACTCTGTGAACCATCAGGACTCAGCATCTCAGCGACATCCGCAGTGACTGAACAACGATAACAACGATCTCATCGCTGGACTGCACGGATGATCGTGTGATCACAGATCAGGCAAGAAGATGAGAAGATGAGAAGATGAGATTGATAAGAGTTGAGATAGTTGAGAAAACTTTGTACAACGCTCGATGAAACTCAGGAGGATGCAGAAGCTATGCATCCTGCGAGTCCAAGCAGCTATCAGAGCCCGTCATCTGTAGGCATGGTTTCTCTGTGGTTCGATGAATTGATGATCAATTTCAATGATCAATCATTCATAGAATTGGATTATGGGAAAATTTACAGTCCTATATTTGATGGTAAAAACCATGATTTCCGGTTAAGATTTTCCCTTAAACCAATCCAGTGAATCATTGAGTCAATCATTGAGTCGTTAGGTGCCACGGAGGTGGAGGTCTTGCGATTGCAGACCGCTGCCCTGGCACAATCCCTGGCAGGCGAGTCACCGGGTCACCGGGTCACCGGGACACCCAAGGTGTCACTTCAGAAAGTTTCAACATGTTTGAACAAAGTTCAAATACGTTCAAGTCTGGTAATACATGGTAATACCATCTGTAATACCATATATATATATCCAATTATATCCATATATCGTATATGATCGTACATGTATATAACAATATCATACATGAGCGACCTTTCATGATATTTCATCTTATCTTCCGCGCTTTTTGTTTTGTCTCTTTATTTTTCGTCAGGGAAATGTCATGGGTCACAAGCCACTCGGCATCGTCGCCAGGACTTGGCGCCTGTGTGGTGAACTGGTCCTCTTTTTTGACGCCGCAAAGGCGACAGCAGCTGAAGACCACCGTGCTTCGCTATGCTGAGCCTTGCGAGCACCTGAGTCCCGAGCTGCAGGATGGGCCGTGGATCGTGTCTCCGTGTCTCGTGGATTCCTCACCATCCTGGACCATCCTGGACCATCCTGGACCATCCTTTCCTCAAAATTCTGTAAATTGAGGGCGAATTCACCAACCGAGCTGTGGCAAAGGGATCAACAGAATCAACAGCACACTGTAACGAAACCATCATTGCGAATTTGCTCCTTTGATGTCCTATGACAATCTATGACAATCTATGACATCCTCAGGATTTCCTGTGATGGCAGTGTTTTTGGATTTGTTTTGGAGGAGCTGTGCAAAGATTTGAATTCTATGGACTTCGAAGGGAGCTCTAAGGTGGGCAGACGGTGAACATGTTTCAGCTATTTTCAGCTTCTCTCCCCACTCGATCCTTCCACCTTTCTGTTTCTATGAATGCACCGCAATGCCATGCCAAATGCCAATGCCATGCTGCAGAACGATCCCTTTACATATTCCAAGTGAGATGTTGAACAAGATTGTCAAATTATATCAAATTAATTCAAATTATATATATATAATATATATATATAATTTGATATAATTTGTAAATATCTCTAAGTGAAAAAACTGTTTTTATTCATTTTTTGGTGAAATCAGCGAAATCAGAGCCGCTTAAATTGCTGTGACTTTTTCCACGAGGGCGAGCCCCTGACTCCACTCACCGTTGGAGCGCTGCGTGAAATGCTGCAGCCCCGACCGGCAACTTGGACAAGCCATGACAAGTCAAGAGCCATGGATAACCATGGATAGCCATGGATAGCCATGGATAGCCATGGATAGCCATGGGGCAATGGTGATACTGTGGGTCAGATTTTTCGTTTTTTGAAATGGGATTGACAAAATTGCTTATTTTAGATTCTAGCTGTTTTTAGTATCCTTTAGTATCAATCCGTCCATATTTTTGTGGTCAGCAATCTTGGTAGACTTTGTCAATTTAGTGTGTTATTGTTACTGTTACTGTTACAGCTCAGCTACGTCCAATATCGGCAGATCATGAGAGGGTCTTGGGACAGTCGGGACTTCTGAGATCAGTCCGTTCGGGGCGAATAAAGGCCCAAATGGAAGCAGTGAATGCACGGAAGTCAAACGGGCCAAGAATTCAACCTGCCATGATGTTAGCAGCATTTGTTGACACGTTTTTGAATCGCCAATTTGGGGCCCCCTGGGAGTAGTTGGGAAATTACTTCGCTTGTTGGCTGCGTCTCAGGATGGCCATCGGAGAGTTCAGTTGCTTGGTCCGGGAAGAACATTTCGTGTAAAGTGCGTTTTTCACACAGTCTTTGACGTCCACCATCCTTGACCATCCTTGACCATCCTTGACCATCCTTGACCTGTGATTTTGTATCAGAGATACCATGGAATGCCATGAAACTGACTGGTCGCAGTCAAACTTTTTGATTCACCATTTGATTCACCATTTGCTTTTTGATTCATCATTTGATATCATTTGACTATTTCTATCATTTCTCATCTGAGGCCTTCCATCCCTGTACATAGCGGACGGGATCCGTCCCCTCGGACGCCGCGGGAGCGAATCGTCTTTTGAGTCCAAAAAGGACAATGGAGCGCCTGGAGCGCTGGTCCGACTTGTTCGGTGGATGAATCGAAGTACTCAGACAGCATTCACAAGATAGAAATGAAAAGATCCAGAAAAGATCAAGAAAAGATCACGCAATAAACTAAGGGATTGATGTTTAATTAATGGAGGAAAGCGCCAGGTTGAAGGCATTGCGAAGGCATCCCATTTTCACATTCCAACAGAGATGCGCCATTCGCCCCGCTTAGACTCCGCTTAGTCTGGTGCGTTTGGACCTCTGACCATTCTGGGAACTCAAGATTTAGTGATATGGTCATGAAATGTCACGGCATATTCTCAAGAGGTGGGTCCTTTGTCATTTTAACACACGTATTTTAAGGGCATTTAATATTTCAAATGCATCGCGTTGCATCGTCCAGGGCCTGATGGGGGAGATCGCACAAGTCTTGCTCGGCGGTGTGCTAGAGCAGGCGAGGTTGATGACTGCTGACATTGGCAAACCATGACGGATAGAGACTGAGCACTCACTAGTATTGATTAGTCAATTGAGCTTCATCACAGCATCAGCACGAGACACTGAGAGTTCTCAGGTAGGTTTTTGGGTTTTAACATGACTGTCCTACGTTGGCATCTTGAGAGACAAACCGATTTCATCAGGCCGTAGCCCGTTGCCGCCATAAGCCCAGTTTCTTTGAACGTTGGGTGGATATTGTGGGTGCTCTGATGTGCTCTGTGTTGCGATCCCGGTTATGTGGTTAATAAGTTCTTGTGCCAAAACTGTTCTGTTCGTAGTGATCGTAGTGCTTTTTCCTCTGTCAGGATTTGCTGCTGACATAGTCCGTCAGAATGTGGTAGGGAAGGAATTATATGAGACAAACTCGAACGTTGGTGTTAGTCTGGGACCCGATTCTCCAAGAGCAGTAGCAAAATGTGATGCAAAACTGTAAGCTTCAGTGTGACGGGCTTGAGAATCTGGAGCCTCTGAATCCGGTCGAAATTTCCAAATATATCTGTGCCATTCTGTGCCATTCTGAGTCTGTGTCACCAAGGTGAGGACTTGGACAAGCAAAAGGAACAAACGGTCCACTTCTCAAGTCCACTCTTGTGCAGCGCACACAAACGGATCAAACGGTCCACTTGTCATGGCTTGTCTTGATCTGTCTTGATCTTTCTTGATCTGTCTTGATCTGTCTTGATCTGTTCATAGCTGCGCAGCTGCGCTGTTCTAAACTCAGGAATTGCAGGCGTCAGCTCTTCGTGAATGTCTGATCGAGATGCAAGATCACAAGGCCTGGCACGGCGGCCGCTGAGCTTTTTTGGTGTGGATCTGCAAGATCTGCAAGATCTGCCGTGCAGTTGACATAGACTTTGACTTGATCTGACTTTGACCGAGGCACAAGTGCAAGCACAGAGCATGGAGATAAAGATGTTGTCTCAGCAGATGGAAGACATGCCGGGTGGCACAGAAGCGACGCAGCCGCTGACGCTCCTTTTCAGCTCTGTTACGAAAGCCAGCTAGCTGGCTAGTTGCTGTTTGCGAACGAAGTGAGAATAGGGGGTGTGGGGGGGGGTGGTTGCCGAAAGGGAACGAAATCTCGCCGTGCCCCTGTGTTGAGCGCGAGAAAACGGAGCATTTTGCTGGATTATGTACCACTAGGCAATTTGCTGACGGTGGGGTATCGATTCCCCCTAGGTCCGCCTTTTTGGTGGCCGGAGAGACCATGAGGATGTATTGGAAAATACAATGAAACTGCAGGAAAACATGATAACGATCAGAGGAAATCGTACAAAATCCCCTGGAAAACGGACGAAAACGGAGCGAATGCTAGGAACAAACCATGGAAAATCCCTTGGAAAATGGAGGAAACCGGAGCGAATGCTAGGCGCAAACCATGACGATACAGTAAACATGCTGGAAAAATACAGTGAAAGTGCAGGAAAATGTGATAACAACGAGAGGAAATGGTGCAAAAAGGATCGGAAAATGAAGGAGACAGGTAAAACTCTTGGATTAATATTAATATTGAAAAGGTATGAAAATGCAGGAAACCAGAGGAAATGGTGCAAAAACCTATGGAGGAAAGAGGTGAAAATGATAGGAAACATGTAGTAAATAAAAAAATGCTGGACAAAACATATTGAAAACCCACGAAGAGAATGTATTGGAAAATACAATGAAATTTGAGGAAAACATGATAACGATCAGAGGAAAAAGCTAGGAACAAACCATGCAAAATTTGTTGGAACATGGAGGAAACCGGAGTGACTGCTAGGAACAAATTATGACGATGCAGTAAACATGTTGGAAAAAGACAGTGAAAGTGCAGGAAAATGCGATAACAACCAGAGGAAATGGTGCAAAAACGATCGGAAAATGAAGGAAACGGGAAAAACTCTTGGAAAAATACATTGAAAATGCAGCAAACCAGAGGAAATGGTACAAAAAGGAGACGGGTAAAAATCTTGGAAAAATAGATTAAAAATGCATGAATAGATTGAAAACCCACGAAGAGGATATAGAAACTGCAGGAAAACATGCTAACAATCAGAGGAAATCGTGCAAAATCCACTGGAAAATGCTGGAAAGATACAGTGAAGGAAAATGTGATAACAACCTGGCAGGAAAATGTAATAACAACCAGAATAAAGGGTGTAAAATCTGTTGGAACATGGAGGAAACCGGAGCGACTGCTAGGAACAAACTATGACGATGCAGTAAACATGCTGGAAAAATACAGTGAACGTGCAGGAAAATGCGATAACAACCAGAGGAAATGGTGCAAAAACGATCGGAAACTGAAGGAGACGGGTAAAATTCTTGGAAAAATATATTGAAAATGCATGAAATGCAGGAAACGAGAGGAAATGGTACAAAAAGCCATAGAGGAAAGCGGTGAAAATGGTAGGAAACATGTAATAAAAAAGCTGGACAAAACACAGTGAAAACCTACAAAAGAGAAGAAAGTAACCACAGGAAACGGTAGAAAAAGCAGTGGAAACTGGAAGAAAAATTGTGACAATATTAGGAAAACGGTGTACAAGCTAGGAAATGCTTGTAACAACTAGAGGAAACGATGTAGAAAACAGTACAACATGGAGGACACGCGTGAACATGCTAGGAGGCATGTAACATGTTAGAAAAATACAGTGAAAACCTAGGAAAATGTTATAACTAAAAAATACTTTAAAAATATAGTGAAAACCAAGACAATGTCAACGAGCGGAAACGTTGAGCAGGAAATCCGATTTGGTTTCTGTAGATAATGTTAGATGATGAGCAATGTAGTTTGGTGATAGGAAATAATGGCTGACTCGCGTACAAGACATTGCCATGAAACCTTGGAGCAAGATGCGGATGGTATAGGAAAAAAGATGTATGAGTTGTAAGATTTTAGGAGATACATGGGAAAATTGGTTTCATGGTAATCTGTGTGAAGTTAGAAAGTGTGATTTCGTTCACAAAGTAAGAAAAATAAATGCAATCTGCAGATTAGAATACTTATAATGCTTAAAGCTGTTTGACGTTTTTTGGTGCCTCCCTGATTCTGGTAGTTTTGTGACAAGAGCTACAAAAACGATCTACTGGTAAACGGAAGGCTTTCGTTATCGATCAGCAACCTGGCTTACTCTGAGCCTGGCTCCCGTTTTAGAACTGAGTCGACTGTCAAGTGATGCATAGGCTCCAGGCCTCTGGTTATTGTCACAAAGCATTGGAATGAAGATTGCGCCCAGGAGCCACCTAGGTTAGGAGACAAATGCTGTAATATCATTGTAAGAGGCCGTACTGAGAAGGCAAGGCTGAAACAGAACTAAAAGTGAATCTTGTACTAAAACATCGAGAAAGAATTTGACTCTTCTAATGGCAATGACGGGAATGATATGCATCTGTACGTCCGTGATAGTATGTGTGCCTTTTAAAAGGGATGTTTGGCGAGTGTGATAGCCGAGAAGATTTTCCGGGATGCCAAACAATTATCTCTATCGATGTCAGGGATGATGCTATTCCGCGACATTTCCTGTAAAATACCTATTTTCCAGACCCTTGGGGGGTGGGGGGGGTACCCAGGTCTGTAAATGACATATATATATATACTTTTGATTTGGACTGCATATTCGCCACTGTTCTATATTTCCCGTGGGTTTTGCATTGTTTTCCTCGATTTTCATTCGTTCTTATACCCTTTCTTACGTATGTTATAATATTGTTTTGGGTTTGCACTGCCCATTTTGCGAGTAGAGCTATGTTTTGATTTCTCACCGTACGGCCAAAATGTTGCGGAACTTCGCGGAGAAGCATGGACCACGCTGAGGAGAAAACAATTTAGACTTTGAGAGGTCACATGACCACTGTTCACACAAAAAAACGGGTATTATTTATCTACAATAGATGGGAGCAAACTTGCGCTGTTTTAAGATAAATGAGGAACCAAAGGCGGATTTACGGAACTTGAGATAGAATTTTTCACAATGCCGCAGTACATTGTAGGAAACATATTTGGATATAGAAGTTACAAAATCGTGGAGTTTACCCTAAAAAGGTCCATTTAATGATTGGCAAATTATGACCCGATAGCAATTGTTGATGTTGGGGCGCTTATGTTTGAGCCATGCCATATGGATGAGGTGGAGTTTCACGCGCCCCCGCGCGAGTCAAAAAGCAAGCGTTGGCTTTCGTTCCAGCCCTTCTCAGGTTTCTGTCACTTTCCTTTTCGAAATTGGCATATTTGATCATGTTTGGCACATTTGGCACATTTGGCGCATTCCATAATGACAGATGACAGTCGAATGACAGACATCTTCAGTTGACGGGTCAACGTGCTGAGAGTGTGTAATCTGGGAAGCGAAGTTGGGATCTGCCCAGGCGTGAAGATATCAACTTCGAGACGAGAGGATGCGTCGACGTGGCTCAGCGAACACTCAGCCCAGTGAGATTCCTTCACCTTGCGTTGGTTTAGGAACGTGTCATGGGTAAAATGATGTAAAATGTGTAAAGCATGGCAAACAAACACACGGGACCAATGGGACCAAAGGGCTGCCGTCACTGTGATCGGTCAGCTTGTGAGGTATCATGTGGCAAAGTGGTGCGGCCCCAAGACTGTTGACTTAGAACATTGGCCCCTGTTTCCCTATGTATCAATATAATGTCAATATATATATAATATATATATATACATTAATATATATACAATACATAAGTTTATGTTAGATTCTACTCAGGATGAGAGGTGGTCTGAACATTCGCAAGGAATTGTGAGTACATCAGAGTTGGGGATCCTTTCATGACTTTCATTTGAGCCCATGATTGACGTCCTTGTGGATCTTCAGATGCAAGCCTGCCGTACTTTGATTGCTGAGGAGCCACAGTAGTTTTTGCGTCCTGCCAAAAAAACACTATTTTTTCAGACAATAGACATAGATACACAAAGATAGACATAGTCACATAGTTAAATAGACATAGGTGACATAGTGTCAAAATGATTCAACATGTATCAAAAAGCCACGTGAACATACGTGAACATACGTGAACTATGGCTAACGTTGGCAAACTATAAGATTTTGCAGATGTTTGGGAACGTTTTGCATCGCGTTTTGCCGATTTTTGGCTCGCTTCTCACTGCGTTTTTTACTGCGTCGCGGCAGGAGGTGGAAACCCTGCGGAGAGAACTGCTGAGCCTCGGAGAAGAGCAGCTTGGAGAGAATTTGAAAAATCTGGAAAACTGATAAAGAGAGAGAGAGAGAGAGAAGAGTCAGAGTCTCTTGGAATTTGTGAAAAAACTGATAAAAACTGTAATCTTTTTGAATCTTTTTGCACTTCTCCAAATTTGTCCGACAAATATAGACTGCCACTTTGATGGATAAAATGATGATAAACCGTGGGATTTCAGGGTATGCTGGTATACCGTTTTGGACAAACGATTTGTGTAATTATTGAACAATTGAATTGTGAACACCTCAACAGTTTGTGAATTTTTGTTGACATGGACCTTGCTCAGGATGAAGCGGAAGATTGAGGTGAACAGTTCTTCCCAGGAGACCCACAAACTGAAACGGACGAGTCTCTCAAAGCTTTGCGAAACTTTCTTTTTGACACGAAACATCTCAAAGTTGGTGTGCCGCATCAGCTCTGCTTTGTACATCTAAAAGTGACACACGTAATCGTATACACAGTATACATAGTATACACCGTATACACAGTATACACAGTACACACAAGTCACAAGTGACACTGCTGTGACACTGCTGTGACACTGCTGTGTAGTCTGTGTAGTGTTCCTCTCTTTCATCGTTTTACGAGGGGAAAGAATTGAGCACCTTGCGAGAATTCAACGAGGCACCTTGCCTTGCTGAGTCACCGGAAGATGTATCAGCTTCCCTGGTCTGCATCGTCCGCATCAGCTTCCGTCATCAGTCACCTTCCCTCATTGTGCTCTGCAAGTCATTGTGCTACAGTGCTAGGTCTCCGAGAGAAAATTGGAGGAATTCAGCCAGAAACTCCAGCAGATGCTAGAAGCCCAGATAAGAACTGACAAGGTTCTGATATCGTCTGAGGCCGTCTGAGACAATAGAGGTGAAATAAGAAAAACAGTTATGTCGAGTGCAGTCCACTGTACAGGCCAAATCCCGCAGATGCTTTGCAAGCACAGCAAGATGCGGTTCGAAGCCCCAAGAATCCAGTGCAAAGTACGAAAACTCCAGCGGGTCGAGTGAGTCGAGTGTGTCCCTTTTGTGAACTCAAAGGACCAAGACCCAAAACTGCAGTTGACCCCATTCAGCCACAAAGAAGTATGATGACGTAGTCATTTGGTTGTAGCCTTTTTGCTTTCCAAGTAGGACAGTACCCTTTTGTTCCTACCCCGCCCCTGGACAAATTCAAGCCCTGCTGTTGATAGTTGAATTCTGGCGAGGATGGGAAGGCTTGGTCATTCGTTGTTTGCCAACATGGAGAGGTAGGCTAAGAAAGGACCAAGACCCATCCAAAAACGCAGTGTCAGTGCAGATTCTCAACCATTGTTTCCGATGAAGCTGAGAACTTTTGATGCCCAGGTTACTCTGGCTGAGAGCCACGCACAAAAGGCAATGGAAGCAAAGGCGGCTTCAGAAGTCTCGGCAGCTTGCCTCATACTTTGTTTGTAAGAGATGAACATGGGAATGAATTGGTGCAGTAACAACAACGGATGCCTTGAGACAGTGCTTTCCAGTCCTGTGAGAGTTGGGTGCAAAGCAAAATTTGAGCAGTTTGCCAAGGCTCAAACCACTGAAAACCACATGATGACAACTACCAATGCTTTGACCGCCGTTCAAGAAAATGCTGGGTCCTCAGGGTGTTGCTTCCTGAACCCAATGGCCAGAGTCTTGATTTTGAGTACAACCAGGCTTGTCACTTTCATGATCAGGAGAATTTGTGACGTCAGCTGCCCCGAACAGTCTGGCTGCATATGAGTTTCAATGTGTTTGACGGAAAACAACCATAAGTTTTCGATTTCAATGAACTTTTATGGATGTGTTGATAGCACATTCATTCTTGCAAGACATTGACCGTCATTGACCCCATTCAGCCACATACAAAGAAGTATGATGACGTAGTCATTTGGTTGTAGCCTTTTTGCTTTCCAAGCAGGACAGTACCCTTTTGTTCCAAGCCCCGCCCCTCGACAAATTCAAGCCCTGCTGTTGATAGTTGAATTCTGGCGAGGATGGGAAGGCTTGGTCATTCGTTGTTTGCCAACATGGAGAGGTAGGCTAAGAAAGGACCAAGACCCATCCAAAAACGCAGTGTCAGTGCAGATTCTCAACCATTGTTTCCGATGAAGCTGAGAACTTTTGATGCCCAGGTTGCTCTGGCTGAGAGCCACGCACAAAAGGCAATGGAAGCAAGGGCGGCTTCAGAAGTCTCGGCAGCTTGCCTCATACTTTGTTTGTAAGGGATGAACATGGGAATGAATTGGTGCAGTAACAACAGCGGATGCCTTGAGACAGTGCTTTCCAGTCTTGTGAGAGTTGGGTGCAGAGCAAAAATTGAGCAGTTTGCCAAGGCTCAAACCACTGAAAACCACATGATGACAACTACCAATGCTTTGACCGCCGTTCAAGAAAATGCTGGGTCCTCAGGGTGTTGCTTCCTAAACTAAGTGGCCAGAGTCTTGATTTTGCGTACGACCAGGCTTGTCACTTTCATGATCAGGAGAATTTGTGACGTCAGCTGCCCCGAACAGTCTGGCTGCATATGAGCTTCAATGTGTTTGACGGAAAACAACCATAAGTTTTCGATTTCAATGAACTTTTATGGATGTGTTGATAGCACATTCATTCTTGCAAGACATTGACCGTCATTGACCCCTTCAGCCACATTACAAGAAGTATGATGACGTAGTCATTTGGTTGTAGCCTTTTTGCTTTCCAAGCAGGAACAGTACCCTTTTGTCCAAGCCCCGCCCCCTCGACAATTCAAGCCCTGCTGTTGATGTAGTGAATTCTGGCGAGGATGGGAAGGCTTGGTCATTCGTTGTTTGCCAACATGGAGAGGTAGGCTAAGAAAGGACCAAGACCCATCCAAAAACGCAGTGTCAGTGCAGATTCTCAACCATTGTTTCCGATGAAGCTGAGAACTTTTGATGCCCAGGTTGCTCTGGCTGAGAGCCACGCACAAAAGGCAATGGAAGCAAGGGCGGCTTCAGAAGTCTCGGCAGCTTGCCTCATACTTTGTTTGTAAGGGATGAACATGGGAATGAATTGGTGCAGTAACAACAGCGGATGCCTTGAGACAGTGCTTTCCAGTGATTAAACTCCGCTTCAGCAACTACGGCTCAGCAACTACGGCTCAGCAACTACGGCTCAGCAACCACGGCTCAGCAACCACGGCTCAGCAACCACGGCTCAGCAACCACGGCTCAGCAACCACGGCTCAGCAACCAAACTAGGTTCTCGCTTCAGCAACTACGCTTCAGCAACTACGCTTCAGCAACCAAAACTAACTCTCGCTTCAGCAACTACGGCTCAGCAACCAAAATCTACTCTCGCTTCAGCAGCCAAACCTCAGCAACCAAAACCCACCCCCTCCGGCAAGTACATGCACAGTCTCATCTTACACGTAATCTCGAAATCCCACCCCCTCTGGCAAGTACATGCACAGTCTCATCTTACACGTCATATCAAAATCCCACCCCCTCTGGCAAGTACATGCACAGTCTCATCTTACACGTAATCTCAAAATCCCACCCCCTCTGGCAAGTACATGCACCGTCTCATCTTACACATCATATCAAAATCCCACCCCCTCTGGCAAGTACATGCACAGTCTCATCTTACACATCATATCAAAATCCCACCCCCTCTGGCAACTACATGCACAGTCTCATCTTCCACGTCATATCAAAATCCCACCCCCTCTGGCAAGTACATGCACATTCTCATCTTACACATCATATCACAATCCCACCCCCTCTGGCAAGTACATGCACAGTCTCATCTTACACGTAATCTCAAAATCCCACCCCCTCTGGCAAGTACATGCACAGTCTCATCTTACACATCAAATCAAAATCCCACCCCCTCTGGCAAGTACATGCACAGTCTCATCTTACACATCATATCAAAATCCCACCCCCTCTGGCAAGTACATGCACAGTCTCATCTTACACGTAATCTCAAAATCCCACCCCCTCTGGCAAGTACATGCACAGTCTCACCTTACACATCATATCAAAATCCCACCCCCTCTGGCAAGTACATGCACAGTCTCATCTTACACGTCATATCAAAAACCCACCCCCTCTGGCAATTACAAGCACAGCCACATTTTACACGTCATATCAAAATCTCACCCCCTCTGGCAAGTACATGCACATTCTCATCTTACACGTCATATCAAAATCCCACCCCCTCTGGCAAGTACATGCACAGTCTCATCTTACACATCATCGAAGGAAGTTTAGAAGTCAAACTTCCGACAATATGGACAGATGAAAAGCAGAGCAGGGCAGAGGCAGAGAGAAGAGAAAGATTAGAAGAGAGAAGATCAGAAGAGAAAGAGTCAGAAGAAAGAAGATGCAGGTGCGCGAAAAGGTAGGAAAGTCGCGAAACACTGTGTTTTTTCGTGGTTTTGTGGCTCTGGAGGGTTGAAAAGTAGGCTCGCTAAAGCGGCGGATGCGGAGACATCTGGGGAGATGAGAGATGAAAAATTGCACGCCGTTGTGGCGCGAAGCACATTTCGAAGTCAAAATGCACAAAGCACACCAGGCCCGGAGCACTTTTGGCAGTTGAGATGTCGAAAAAGTGCACGCCGTTGTGGCGCGAAGCACACTTTGAAGTCAAAATGTACAAAACACACCAGGTCCGGACCACTTTTGGAAGTTGAGATGTCGAAAAAGTGCACGCCGTTGTGGCGCGAAGCATAGTTGACGGAGCATAGTTTACGGATCTTGGTTTACGATCCATAGTTTACGAGCCATGGTTTACGAGTCATGGCCGTCTTGGTTTACGAATCATGGTTTACGAGCCATGGTTTACGAGCCATGGTTTACGATCCATAGTTTACGAGCCATGGTTTACGAGCCATGGTTTACGATCCATAGTTTACGAGCCATGGTTTACCGAAGCAGAAGTCAACCGCTTTCCAGTCCTGTGAGAGCTGGGTGCAGAGCAAAATTTGAGCAGTTTGCCAAGGCTCAAACCACTGAAAACCACATGATGACAACTACCAATGCTTTGACCGCCGTTCAAGAAAATGCTGGGTCCTCAGGGTGTTGCTTCCTGAAGCCAATGGCCAGAGTCTTGATTTTGAGTACGGCCAGGCTTGTCACTTTCATGATCAGGAGAATTTGTGACGTCAGCTGCCCCGAACAGTCTGGCTGCATATGAGCTTCAATGTGTTTGACGGAAATCAACGATAATTTTTTGATTTCAATGCACTTTTAAGGATGTGTTGATAGCACATTCATTCTTGCAAGACATTGACCGTCATTGACCCCATTCAGCCACATACAAAGAAGTATGATGACGTAGTCATTTGGTTGTAGCCTTTTTGCTTTCCAAGTAGGACAGTACCCTTTTGTTCCAAGCCCCGCCCCTCGACAAATTCAAGCCCTGCTGTTGATAGTTGGATTCTGGCGTGGATGGGAAGGCTTGGTCATTCGTTGTTTGCCAACATGGAGAGGTAGGCTAAGAAAGGACCAAGACCCATCCAAAAACGCAGTGTCAGTGCAGATTCTCAACCATTGTTTCCGATGAAGCTGAGAACTTTTGATGCCCAGGTTACTCTGGCTGAGAGCCACGCACAAAAGGCAATGGAAGCAAATGCGGCTTCAGAAGTCTCGGCAGCTTGCCTCATACTTTGTTTGTAAGGGATGAACATGGGAATGAATTGGTGCAGTAACAACAGCGGATGCCTTGAGACAGTGCTTTCCAGTCTTGTGAGAGTTGGGTGCAGAGCAAAAATTGAGCAGTTTGCCAAGGCTCAAACCACTGAAAACCACATGATGACAACTACCAATGCTTTGACCGCCGTTCAAGAAAATGCTGGGTCCTCAGGGTGTTGCTTCCTAAACCAAGTGGCCAGAGTCTTGATTTTGCGTACGACCAGGCTTGTCACTTTCATGATCAGGAGAATTTGTGACGTCAGCTGCCCCGAACAGTCTGGCTGCATATGAGCTTCAATGTGTTTGACGGAAAACAACCATAAGTTTTCGATTTCAATGAACTTTTATGGATGTGTTGATAGCACATTCATTCTTGCAAGACATTGACCGTCATTGATCCCATTCAGCCACATACAAAGAAGTATGATGACGTAGTCATTTGGTTGTAGCCTTTTTGCTTTCCAAGCAGGACAGCACCCTTTTGTTCCAAGCCCCGCCCCTCGACAAATTCAAGCCCTGCTGTTGATAGTTGGATTCTGGCGTGGATGGGAAGGCTTGGTCATTCGTTGTTTGCCAACATGGAGAGGTAGGCTAAGAAAGGACCAAGACCCATCCAAAAACGCAGTGTCAGTGCAGATTCTCAACCATTGTTTCCGATGAAGCTGAGAACTTTTGATGCCCAGGTTACTCTGGCTGAGAGCCACGCACAAAAGGCAATGGAAGCAAAGGCGGCTTCAGAAGTCTCGGCAGCTTGCCTCATACTTTGTTTGTAAGGGATGAACATGGGAATGAATTGGTGCAGTAACAACAGCGGATGCCTTGAGACAGTGCTTTCCAGTCTTGTGAGAGCTGGGTGCAGAGCAAAATTTGAGCAGTTTGCCAAGGCTCAAACCACTGAAAACCACATGATGACAACTACCAATGCTTTGACCGCCGTTCAAGAAAATGTTGGGTCCTCAGGGTGTTGCTTCCTAAACTCATGAGAGAGCATTCACGGCATGAGCAGCTTTTGACAATTCTGCAGCACCAATGCAGCTTGAAGATGCTTAAAGCACTATGCAAGGTGTTATCGGTTCCATGGATGTGTACAGGTGGCTTCAGCTGAGAGTCACGCCCAGAAGGCTCTCGCAGCGAAGGAAAGTTCAGAATGCGCAGCATCTTGGCAATGACAGCGGCTTTCCCTTCTTTTGGATTCAGCAAAAAACACTTTTGTGCCTGCAGTTGTTGGATGTTGGCTTGTGGCGTTTTCATATTGGAGAAAGATGTGATTGTTAAAGAAACATGCACAATGCGCCAACTTTCACAAGTTTGCTGCTGAGAAACCCGAAACCCACTTGAGCCAAACTGAGGCGGAATCCACTCAGAGCCATGTTGCTGCTGCCACCAATGCATTGACAGCGGTACAAAACAATGCTGGGGACTCGTGCTAATCCGGATTGTCCCGATATGTTTCGATTGCTGATGAAAAAAAACATGATAATTATATTGTACCGTAATTATACCTGCATATTTCGCGATCTTCCAGATAGCCATTGGAGAGATGCTTATATGGCTTTATATGGCAATGAAATGAGTGTGCTTTCAAAGCCAGGGCAGGTGTGCACTGCCACAGTTGTGCACTAGAAAGAATTTAGGCCATTAGGCCTTCGACTTATTTCGACTTGATACAAAGACTTCTTGATATTTCTGTTTCGAGGCCGACACGGTCCGCGAAAAGACAGTAGAGGTGGAGCAGCATGTGGCTTTTGCCCCTTGGACCAAAGGGAGACTGTGTCACGGTGTCACTTTGAGGCCAGGTGAGATAGGTGAGATAGGTGAGATAGGTGAGATTGCACGCAGTCCAATGCAGTCCGGTGCGACGCAGCGCGCATTCCATTTGCATTCCATTTGGAAACTGTTTGAGAAACTGACATTGTGACATTCTTTGACTGCGCGTGATCGAGGTCAAAGACATTGTAAAGCAGATGGCGGATCAGGCTACTGCATTGCAAGAGACTTCCTCTGCAGTTGGGAGACTCAGACCTACAGGATGATGACATGTGATGCAGACCTACATGAAGTTTCAAAGTGAAAAGGAGGAACTGAGGAACCTGGCGGAACCTGTACCATGAGTAAGTTCAGGTGAACAGTTCAGGCTAGTTATGCTCGTTTGGAGTCGTGGCATCATGGTCTGGATTTGGGGGGCTCATTGGGTCACACTTTGAGCGGTCTGCCTTGTTTGATTTTGTCGACTGCGGATTGATTGTTGAGGAGGGTATTCTTTGGGTGCAACCAGTCTAAGCCGTGACAGCTACAGAACGATACAGAACGCATGTTTTGCTTTGGTATTTCACATCTCAAGCTATAGCAACATGTAGCAACATGTAGCAACATGCTATACCTGTTTTTCATCCTGTTTTTCATCCTGTAACATCCTGTAACATGCTAACCAGTGCGACAGTGGAGTGGAACACTGACAGTGGAGAACACAGCTGACCGCTGCAGAGGTGGCCTCCGCGAGTGACGCAGCAGCCAGTACATTGGCCACTGAGGCGTGAATGGCGTGACGGACTGAAAACAAAAAAGTTGTGAAACTGACTCAAAATACTCAAACCAAGTCAATTAAAATTTCATCACAATATGAATATGTATATATAAATACATGTATATATATATGTATATATAAATATGTATATTATTTAAGGGCTGCCGCCCCTGCCGCCGACCCCGGAAGAATGGTCAATGAATGAAACCAAATTGGCATCAATATTCTTCGGTGCTTCGCACTTTTAGGTTTTCCCCTTTTTCATATATTTTTATGCAATATATTTGATAAAATATTTTGATATAGTAAGAAAACCCACCCACCAAACCCCTTCACCCCCCTGAGCAGTTCCTCGACGACTTCAACCAGAATGTGGGTCTTGAGCTCGTGAAATTATTCATTTTATTAAGTAAATAAACCTTCCCATTTATCCCCCCTTTTTGTGGCAAGGTGCTGTGCTGTTCCGTGGCAAGGCGCAGAAACGAAATAAAATACACAGGTATTATGTCCGGTACTAATGGTGCTGCAAATCTCCAAAACGCATTCTTCGCCACACCGAAACAACATGCTACTGAAGGACGGAACGACCTCCAAAAACATGCTGCCCCGGGGCTTGACGTCCCTTCTGGATTCTAGTAAAAACAAAGCGAGTTCAGCTGCTGGGCCTGCTGGGCCTGCTGGGCCTGCTGGGCCTGCTGGGCCTGCTGCTGCTGCTGCTGCTGGTGCTGCTACTAGAGGTGGTGCTGCAAGCCTCCAAAACGCACCCTTCGCCACACCGAAACACCATGCTACTGAAGGACGGAACGACCTCCAAAAACATGCTGCCCCGGGGCTTGACGTCCCTTCTGGATTCTGAAAAAAAAAGAGATTGCAGCTGCTGGGCCTGCTGCTGCTGCTGCTGCTGCTGCTGGAGCTGGTGATTGCAGCTGCTGGGCCTGCTGCTGCTGCTGCCCCTGCTGCTGCTGCTGCTCCTGCTGCTGCTGCTGCTGGTGGTGCTGCTGGAGCTGGTACTGCAAGCCTCCAAAACGCACCCTTCGCCACACCGAAACACCATGCTACTGAAGGACGGAACGACCTCCAAAAACATGTTGTTCCGGGGCTTGACGTCCCTTCTGGATTCTGGTAGAAACAAAGCGATTGCAGCTGCTGGGCCTGCTGCTGCTACTGCGGCTGCTGCTGCTCCTGCTGCATGCTGCCGGTGGTGCTGCTGGAGGTGATGCTGCAAGCCTCCAAACGCACCCTTCGCCACACCGAAACACCATGCTACTGAAGGACGGAACGACCTCCAAAAACATGCTGCCCCCGGGGCTTGACGTCCCTTCTGATTCTATTAAAAACACAGCGAGTTCAGCTGCTGGGCTTGCTGGGCCTGCTGGGCCTGCTGGGCCTGCTGCTGCTGCTGCTGCTGCTCCTGCTGCATGCTGCGGGTGGTACTGCTGGAGGTGGTGCTGCAAGCCTCCAAAACGCACCCTTCGCCACACCGAAACACCATGCTACTGAAGGACCCCATTTGCGTCGCGTGCTGTGACTCGTTGTATCGTCATGGACAGAAGCCGGCAGAGGCGCTGACAAATGATATGTTGCTCGGCTACCCGCCGCGCGACCTTTACGCGCTGCAATGTGCGGTCTTAGAAGTTTTGAGTGCGAGTCCGTGTTTGACAGCGTTGACATGCTTCAGCATTGAATGGCGGTACCTGTCGGACCGCAGCTTGGCGCAAGATGCCTTTATGAACCGCCACCGCCTATGCGCGAAAGGAAATGCCACGACCTTTCCGCTGCAATGGGAAGATCTTTTGTCCGAACTCGAAAGGTTGAATCCTACCGCGGGCGCGGCCGCAACGTGCCGTCTGCCACATGTCGGAGACGAATTGCGCGACAAGATTGCTGTCCTTATCAAGGTTGGAAACAAGCAAGAAGGAGCAACCGTGCCGCAAAGAATTATTCACCAAGCTGTGGTTCGGCGTCTCGTGGTGGTCGGTTTGATCGCAGCCATGGTGTCACGCGGCCACCCGGCATACAAAGGTGTCGACATGGATGCCGTGACACTACGGGCCGAGCAGTTGCCAGAAGACGGTGTACCGGCCGAAATTGTCGCCTTGTTCGCGAATGATGGCACTTTGGCGCAAGTGCAACGCCAGAAAGCAGCAACGCCTGTCAATGACGCAATGACAGAGGAGCAGGTCGAACGCGAATTTACTCGCTTCCTGAAGCCAAATGCTGTCGTTTTGGAAAAATCAAGCGCAGGTTCCATGACATTAACGCACGGCACGTTTCTGCAATGGAAGACATTGTGCACCACAACAGCGGAACCGCAGAAACTGCGCTACCCGAAGTCGTTTTGTATACCGGTACAAAATTGTTGGACCAATTTCAACCTACATACTTCGGATTGGCCTTTCCCTTTGTGTTTCCGTACGGTGTCGGCATGCCTGATCCACCTCGGTGGAGCAAGCAACCTAGGCACCGACGAGCGGCCATTGAACCGCGCGTCGAACTCAGCACGTGGGTTCGCGCGCTCGCGCGCCGTGTGGAGGCGCAAGTTAGTCGAGATTGGGTCTTTGGCTTCACATCGTGGAATCTCCTTTTCCGGTCTTCATTAAACCTATCACGCACAACAGATGCGTACTCCCGCATGTACTACGACGAAGACGAAAATGTTTGGGTGCAGCCGACTGGACACCACGTGGAGACGGCTGCAAAGCAGTTACTTGATGCTTTGCGCGGCTCGTACGTGGACGTCAATGGACAACCGCGTCCCGTCAAAGGAGACATCACAAAATTGCAATACGTCCGCGGGCTAAAACCCATGGCTCGGAAGCTTTTGGCAAATACCCCCAACTGCCCAAGTCGTGGCGAAATCCCAAAAATCTTGAAATTAGTTTGGGGGAAGGCTTTTGTGGAAGTCGTGGCGATGCGGCGTTTAGCTTGTGTTTAGGGTAGGTTGCTGTTTTACTATATCTCATGTAGACCTAAAGTGGCGAAGCGGCGTTTAGGTTGTGTTTGGGGTAGGGCTTTGTTTTACTATTAAGCATAGTGCTTTAATCTTGCTAGTTGCGTTCTCATTGTGTTTGGGATGGTTGCTGTTGGGTTCTGCAGCTACTGACGTCTTGCTGTTGCTGCAGCTGCTGGTTCGACGGCTGCTGCTGTTGCTGTTTCCGGGTACTTCTACACAACGCTGGGATTATCATCTCTACACTGCCATGGCGGTGTGCTGGGATTCTGCAAATTGTCATTGTTTCGCTACCAGTGATCCAAGGAAGGGCAGGTTTGCGGCTTGCGGGCCAAAGTCCATGTGTGTAGATGCGGGGCTTTTTCCGTACCTCGTTTTGACCTCGTTTTGGACCTCGTTTTTTTCCTTTATCAGAACCCATCCTGCAGTATACAAACTACGAAAAGGGCCTGCTTCGCGTTTGTGTTTGTGGGCGTCAACAGTGCCCACGAAAAAAGGCCCGTTGGAAACCGGCGTTCCGATGGGATTCGATCAAAAACGAATAGAACATAGTAGAACCATGATAGTTTGGTCAAGGCTTGTTAAAGCTAGCGTTTCCAATGGGGAAAGGGGTTTTGCAAGGTCTGTGCCGGGACAGGGGTCGTGGCGAGCGTTTTGATTGGGAATAGCTGTCAAACGCAAACATTGCAAGGACTTGGGCGTATGGGTGTATGCGTCATACGGCGCACGGCTTACCAGGCACGCAAGAGGCAAGGAAACGCATGCGCTTCGAGATCCAAGCCATGCATATTCGATACGGCGTTCCTCTTTTCGTGACGTTTACGCCAGACGAAGCACATCAGCTGTTGTTTATTCGGATGGCACGTGTTCGCGCATCCGATCCTGTGCGTTCGGCTTCCATCGGTCAAGATTTCCCGGCGGGGTCAATAGAATTTCCATCTTTGAGAGGCACACCAACAAATTCACCATTCGAGCATGAATTTGTAATACCCATGGCGTGGGCAGATCGACGTGAGGTGTTGGCCCGAGACCCGCTGGCCGCCGTAGATGGTTTTCGCGTTCTCACGCACTTCATGCTGCGACATTTATTCGGGGTCCGATCTTGCCCTATGTGTCCTGATTGCAACACATTCCCCCGCGGGACTGCTGAGCCGTGCCAAGATCGTTGCGGCAGCAACGCGGAGCCTGGCGGCGGCATCTTCGGTCGCGTTGATGCAGTGTACATTTCCCTTGAAGCGCAGAAAAGCACCGGTGGCATGCACGGTCACGCTCAAGTTTTTGTGCAATGTCTTCACCGACACACATCGTTACAAGAAATTTTCGAGATGTGCGAGGCTCGTCTCGACGAACTGCGGCGCGCGTACGAAGAATATCATGGTCATGTCTGTCACGCGTCCTATGCCGGGCAAACTGCAGAAGACATGGAGCGTAGAATTCACGCGGCTGAAGCGTCCTGGCCAGACCACGAAGAGGATGTAGCTATGACGGCCATCCCGCAGTATCAACTGCAGCGAGCCCGGGCGCAAGATGTCGAGGCAGAGGCTGCTGAGTGGCGACGTATCTATATGGAAGAAGATGTTGTTGCGTTGCAACTGGTCAAGCAGCACCATTATCATCCATACAGTGAAGCAGCACAAAGCCGTGTACCATTGTCGGGGTGCCAAAAAAGTGATCGCCCCGGAGTCTGCAAAAGTGATTTTCCACGTACGCAATGGCTCTGCCCAGACGCGACTGTCTTATGCCCATGCAAATTGAAATCTTTCGGCATGCCTCTAAGCGGTCGCAAGAACCGACTCGGAGCTTTGCACGGCCCATGTGGGAACGAGTGGTTAAATGGCTGCGCGCCAGCTATGCTTGCAGGGCTCCGTGGAGCAAATTGCGATGTACAAGTGCCGTACAGGCTCCCCTATGCTTGCAACGTATGTGGGAGTCACGTGACGGCAAAAGAACGCCGACTCATCGCATTGGCTGCGCAGCGGGCGCAAGACGCGCAGACAGGGTATTGCGCAGATTATTGCTCCAAAAGTCAACCGATGGGTTTTGCCGAAATAAAAGAA